TCTGTGCACCCCTGCGTGCTCCATGCACCCCTGTGCCCACCATGCACCCTTGGGAGCTCTGTGCACCCTTGTGAGCTCCATGCACCCTTGGGAGCTTCATGCATCCCTGTGAGCTCCATGTATCCCCGTGAGCTCCGTGCACCCTTGTGAGCTCCATGCACTCCTGTCTGTTCCATGCATCCCCTGTGCGCTCCATGCACCCTTGTGAGCTCCATGCATCCGTGTGTGTTCCATGCACCCCTGTGAGCTTCATGCACCCTTGTGTATTCCACGCATCTCCTGTGGGCTCCATGCGCTCCTCCCAGCACCACACATCCCTGCTTGCTCTGTGCACCCCTGCATGCTCCATGCACCCTTGTGAGCTCTGTGCACCCTTGTGAGCTCCATGCACCCCTGTGTGTTCCATGCACCCTTGGGAGCTTCATGCATCCCTGTGAGCTCCATGCACTCCTGTGTGTTGCTCCATGCACCCTCGTGAGCTCCGTGCACCCTTGTGAGCTGCATGCATCCGTGTGAGCTCCATGCACCCCGTGAGCTTCCTGCACCCCCGTGTATTCCATGCATCCCCTGTGCGCTCCTCCCATCACCACACAGCCCTGCTTGCTCTGTGCACCCCTGCGTGCTCCACGCACCCTCGCCAGCTCCATGCGCCCCTGTGTGCTCTGTGCAGCCCTGTGCACCCTGTGCACCCTTCCCTGCTCCGCGCACGCCCCGCGCTCGCTCCCGGGGCTGCTGTAGCGCCCGTTCCGCCAGCGGAGGGCGGCCTTGCGCAGCGTTTGCCGCCCCGCGGCAGCGCCCGAACGCCCCGAACGGCCCCGGTGCTGCTGTGGGCGCCCACGCGGGGCTGCTCCGTGGTCCCGGTAACGCAGCCGTCACGGGTCGCGTTGAACCGTGCCGGCCTCGGCCGCATGCCCGTCCCTGGCCTCCCTCCCCGTGTGGGCACGCGGGCCCAGCAGCCTGGGGGCTCCTCCATAGGGTGCCGGAGGTTCCTGCCCTGCGCTGCCCCTCGGACTCATCCGCATCCCTCCTGCTGCAGCGCCCAGGTTGCCAGGGCCTCCCAGGAAGAAGGAGCTTCCCAAGGGCGAGCGCGGGGCTGCACCAGGCAGTGGGATGTGGTGCCAGTGTCAGAGCCCTTGTGGACGTCCAGCAGCAGCATGGACAGCCCCAGGGAGACCCGGGCAGCAGAGGGGACCATGGCCTGCCCAAATCTTGATCCTCCGCACCAGCTGTGGCCGAGGAGGTGGCCGGACTCGTGTCCTGCAGCCCCGCGGCGCCGGCCGGGCCATGAGCTGCTCCCAGGCTGCTGGACTCCAGGGAACGCAGCGGTTCCCCCTGCGCAGACCCAGTGCGGCCGCAGCCGCGTCCCGCAGCGGGGGGCAAAGCGAGAGG